ATGAAGGTGTGTGATACACACCCATATATCACAATGAATTAAATCAAAACAATTAACACTTTTTATTGAACTATCAAAGAAAGGGAGTCTGGTTTGTTTAGCCCTTACACATGTGTAACGCCCGCAGATTCGAGCTAGTCAATTTAGAGACAATAAGCATCAAAAATGAATTTTTTTTTGGAAGATTATTTAAAAGGAGTAATCTTAACCAAGTTGTAGTATATGTTACAAGGGTTCCGTACATATAAAGAACGCCGAAATCCGAGTTATAACGAAGAAGTTATGGTTCGTCGAAGTTTCGCGACAAAATCGGCACGACGTTGTGAGACGTAAATAGTGAATTTATGATAGATGACTTTTTAGCCTTAGCAATCTAAACCAAAGACGTAGTGTACGTTAAACCGAGAGAGTGCATAAAAAGAACACCCAAATCTGACTTCGTATGAGGAAGTTATGATTTTTCTAAGATTTGGCTTAACAGTGCACAGCCCGGAATTCGAATTTTAGATCGAGCGGTTTTTGGCCAACGTGACCTAAATGAGAGTTGAATATCTCATTAATAGGAACTCGACGATAAAAATATTGATGAAAACGGAGTCCGTATGAAAAGTTACGAATTTTACGCGGTCATTTAACAGTATAATCTCCTCCTACTGTTAAATTTAAGATCAGTCGAGAATTAGCCGACGGAGTTAAAACGAAAGTTGTAGATTTTATTTTTACCTACGCGTGGATAAAAAGAACGTCGAAAACAGAGCTCGTATGCGAAAGTTATGAATTTTTGAAAATCGGTTGATTTACACCTTGTGTCAGCACCAGGCTCAGCCTTGGTGTCTCCAGCTGGCTCACGACGTGAGCACTAATGACTCACGACGTGAGTGACCCCAATTCAGCCTATAAATACATGAATGAAGGCTACCGAGTTCCTCACACCTCCCATCACTTCTCTCTCTCTCTCTCTCTCTCTCTCTCTCTCTCTCTCTCTCTAGCCTCTAACCCCCCCCCTAAAGCCTAGGTAAACCCCCTAGCACCCGAAGGAAGCCCCGAGGGTCCCGAAGGCTCCGAGAAAAGAGCTTTTCGGTTCGGAAACGTTGCTCCAGCGAAGCCCGGTTTTTAATAATAACTCGTTGTAAGTGAGATACGCCTACCATACTTTAAATATAGCTTATATATAAATATAATATCGTTATAGATGAGATTTATCAGTGATTCAAAGTCGTTATATTGATTGATCTACTTACAGGAATGATGTCTAGGTTGTGATTTATTGAGGTGTTTAAAGTGGGATTTCCAAACAATATACTTCATATACCAAACGGACCCTACCTCCGATATGATCCTACCTGGTTGTTCCTTACTTGATAGATCATGAAGTAGACTTTGAGTTAACGATGAATCTAGACTAATAATTAGTCGCAATAAAGATTAGACTAAAACTTAGCGATAATAATGCTAGGTTTCGTCGAAGGAAAAATAGAATCGTTAGAAGCGAAGCGCTGCCCGAGTTTGGAATCATCACTTTAACAAATGAGTGCATAGTTACTTTCATCTTACACATAGATATGAAGTATTTAATATAAATTACATGCTATGTGTGCATATTATCTGTATACTTGCTATCTATGCTGGATGAACGATTTTATACATGTTTTAAAGGATTCAAACTGTATACGTATTTTATATCTACAAATTATGTTGGGTAAAACATGGATAGATGAAATATGAGTTGGATGATGAGATGAGAGGTGATATAGACCATGAGATAAGGGCGGGAGGTGAACAATGAGAGGAGCCTTTTTCCCAAGCGTTGGACCTGTCATCTAGCAGAGTATGGATGACAACCACGAACTATTCTAGACAGTCCAGTGGAACACTAGCAGACTCGCAACCTGTAGGTGTTGTGAATGATGTGTTCACCCGGTGTACTCTAAACCCTGGCGACTATGCAACTTAGTGTCCGCTATATAAACGTTGGCGACTATGCGACTTAGTGCTTGTTGTATAAACCCTGGCGACTATGAGACTTAGTGCCTAGACCCTGGTGACTATGAGACTTAGTGCCTAAACCTTGGCGACTATGCGACTTAGTGCATGTTGTATAAACCCTGGCGACTATGAGACTTAGTGCCTAAACTCTGGCGCCTATGTGACTTAGTGTCTGTTGTATAAACCCTTGCGACTATGAGACTTAGTGCCTAAACCCTGGTGACTATGCGACTTAGTGCCTGTTGAGTAAACCCTGGCAACGATGGATTTCGTGCCGATTCCTTAAGATGATCCTTAGGAATGAATGAACGAGGAATAGCTAGTTCTTAGGGTAGATCCTTAAGAGTAAAGAAGATAATGGGGATGGGTAATTGAGTTGATTGTTTGATGTTTAAACATAATAATTATATTATTGTGGGTTGAAAACCCTATGTACTCACCAGGTTTCCCAACCTGACCCACTCAAGCTTATTTGAATCACAGGTGCCGATACGAAGTTACATTACACTGAGAGATTAAAGAGACGTAGATCACTAGTGTAAATGAATGTAAGTTCTGTTTATGCTTATGTTTCTGTATTGACAATGACATCCCAAATGTTTTAAAATGAATAAAAATACATTTCTTCGGAAATGCTTTGATAACGAATTTATCATGTTTTACTGGGAACAAATTCCGCAACATTTTTATTAAAAGAAGTACTCAGATTTTTATAAAGCATAAACAAAATCGGTCTTTTCTGGCCGTGAAAATGGGGATGTCACAACATGAGTCACAATGCTCTAAATCTACGATAGTTCCTATAGAACAAATATTTTAAGGTTTACTTTTTGGAGGCATGACCTAGTCTCTTGTGCCATATCTTTGTGTTCATCCTTACTTACATGATCTTTACTCTTTCATCCATTCCTTCCATTTTGTATAGACCACCCTCGCATTTATCCATGTCGATCAGCTTCCTCGAGTGTAAGTCCTGAATAAAACAGAATTTTGGAAAGAAAGTCATAAAGTAATTTAGGTCATTGGTTATTTTGCTTATGGAAAGTATATTGTATTTAAATTTTGGTATGAACAAGACATCGTCAATCTTTATGTCATTTGGTAATTGTGCACTACAAAAATCGTTGACTAGAACATTGTCACCATTAGGTATACTTACAGGTATGCCACTGTCGGTTCTCTTTAAGTTTGAGAGATTTGATTCACAACAAGCAACATATATGGTGGCTCCTTAATCAATGATCCAAGTAGGTTTGAAATTAAATTTACCTGTCATGTGATCTCTGGTTTCTGAGTATCACCTAGTTGCTTCAATAGTTTGGTATATTGCTCAAGAGTGAGTCCATATATGGGGCTAGTTTCCTGTTCCGCGTTTGCAACTTCGGGTTTTGCTTTATCGCCTTTCTTGGTTTTGTATTGGGTTTCTTTTGACGTGTGTCCCACCAATCAGGGTATCATATCTTCTCAAAACACCCTTCAATGGTGTGGCCATTTTTCCCACAATGCTTGCATTTCATGTTTTCCCAATTGACCTTCTTTTTTCAGTGTGGATTTTATTAGCAACAACAGACAAATGCATCTGAAGAGCGGCGGCTTCCATATTTGTTGTTCTTGCTGCGGTAATGTTTCGTTGTTGCTCGTCTCATTTTTTGCCACAAGGTGATAATTAGTACCATGAGAAGGCATTGGTTTGGTACTTGGTATTTGGGTTTTAACAATGTCGAAGACATCATCAAGTCCCATGAGGAATTCATAAATGTGTTCCTTCTCCTTTGCTTCAACTAGTCTCTTTCGTAAATCGCACCGTACACATGCCGCAAGTGCATCTTGGTGTTGGAAATGTCAATTGGATCTCATCCCATACGCCTCTTAGTTTTGTAATAAAATAGGCTGAAACAGATTGATTATCTTAACTCATTATTGTTAGGGGTCTTTTTAACGCATACGCAAGAGGTGCGCTTTCCTTCCCGAATCTTTCTTCCAAGTCATTCCAGATTTCTTACGCTAGTTTTGCATACTTGACACTATTGTGTATCTCTTTTTCCATTGGTGTAGTCAACCAACCCTTTAATATGGCGTCGCTTCGTTGCCAAGCATTCAACTCCGATGATCCGTCATTAAGTTGGTTTATAGCCCCGTCGATGAATCCTGCATGATTATTGGCAAACAAGAAGCCGTTCATCTCTCTTGCCTAGTCGGCATAATTGTTGCCGTTGAGGCATTCATTAACATGTAGTTGTCGGGGATAATTGTTTGGGTGGATATAGAATGGAGAATTTGGATCGGAGGATGGTTTATCGGTGGTGTGTTTCCTCGCCACTCCCTTTGCCGTTGTCTCCGGTCATGGCGGTATTGTTTTAGGGTCCGCAGGCTAGAGAACTTGCTTTGATACCATGAAAAAATTAATACGTTAATTGGAAAATTGACTTATCATTGAAAGAGGCTTTTGCCTTTTATAAATACACGATGGAATAAGATGGAATAAGAGATAAATCATATACTATAGGAGATCTATTTACATACAAAGATACATATCAATCTCTTCCTATTAATAATAGATTTCTTATTGTTATGGGTCGGTTTTTGGTCGGTCTGCGGAATAAGTATAATTTTAATGAATTCATTCACAAATTGGATTTTCTTATGAACGCGTGGTCATGCATAATAGTGAATACTACGGATCTTCATCTTTTAAATTATTCCATTAGAGGGTTTCGAGAAAGTTAAAAGTTTCAAGGGGTTTGTAATAGTGTTAGTAATATTGTTTGCTCTTTCAAAGACATCACGCCAAAGGTTTTGATTTTCAGGTGTATTTTCATAAAAAGGTTGGCAATGGCAATTCAGGTGTATCTTCTAAAATTTACCCAACATTAACTACAATACCCTGTTAAAAAGGCATAAATAAGACAATTTTGAAAATTTCATTAACGACTAAAAACAGACAAATTGAAAGACCGAAATAACCTTAACATATATTAAATTCCATTTCATTTTCTTTCAACCAAACACATAACAATTTACATCAATCCCTTTGAATTTTCAATTCTTTTGATAGATTTCATTCCTAACAAAAAAACGTTTCGTCTAAATATCATTTTACCTTTTCCAAACCAAAATAAAATTAAGTCCTTTCAACATGGTCCAAAAACTATTAAAAAAAAAGATTAACAAACATGATACAAACAACCGAAATCAATTGGTACAAACATTTGATAAATGACGTGACACATGACATGATCCTTTAATCTTGAAAATCTTGAAAATGAGAAACCCTGATCTTGATTTTACTTTGACCCAATTGCAAATGACAATTTTGGGCGTGATTTGTTTTTACCAAGTAGTTTTTGTTGTTTTGCACGTTCTTCCTCCTCTTGTTGTTTTTTTCTAAGTAATTCTTCTTCTTTTTGTCTTTGGAGTTCTTCAAGTTCCCTATATCGTTCTTCTTCCCTTCTTTGTTGCTCCATTGCTTCCCTCCTTTGACCTTCTTCAATTCTCTTTCGGTTCTCTTCTACTAACCTCTCCAACTCTTCTTTCTCTTTTCGCGCTTGCTCCTATTTTTATTTTTTTTTATTTTTTTTTTAAATACGAAAAACAACCCCTAAAAACAATTTTAAAAATTCAACAAATACCTCTTTTCTTGTAGCCTCAATAACTGCAGCTTCTTTCTCTCTCTCAAGTTGCTCTACAACATCCCTCCCAACTTTCTTCCTTCCCTCCTCCAATCGTATCTTAATTTCCATCTTAATATATTCAGAACTTAATCTTTCTTCAACTTTCTTCCTTATAGCTTCCTCCACTCTTCTTTCAGTTTCTTCCTCCAATAACTTCAATTCCGCTTCTTTTTTACGCCTGATAAAAAAAAATATAATATAAAAAACATTAAACAAAAAATAGGTCATTAATCGTTTATTCACAAACCAATATGCTTAAGCATCTAAAGACACATTTAATTTTCCATATTTCCAATTTTCATCCGTATTTGTTTGTCTTGTCTTTTTTTTTTACACTAACAAATGACAAACTGACCTTTATGTCGACAAGAGCAATATTTATAAGCGTATGTTTGTGTATGCTTTATACCTTTAACGAGTTCCTGATCCAAACAAATCATAAATGAGGCATCCAATTCATCATCAAATAAAACAATTAGTTGAACAACTATAGCTGAAGTATGATAATATCTTCCTTCAATATAGCCTGTGGAGAAAAATGTCAAAGTAACCTTTTTGAAATTTTAAACCCCATTGTTTATAATTTCATGTTTAGATTATAATATAAATCTATAAAGCTAAAATCTAAAGTTTCCAACAACACATTAAGGCACAATCTTGGCTCAAATTATCAGTTCAAAATGTATTCTCGAATGCTAAATATCTGAAGAGAAAGATACAACATCAAAGAAGAAAAGTATTTGCAAGATGAAATGAGAAGGGATAATACAAGAGTTTCTAGCAAATGATATACCTTTTCTTTTGTTCATCTTCTTCTAATTTGGTTTTTTCAGTGACAACTTTGCGCTCAATAGGGGCAATAATGGGAGACTTAGGTATAGGAGACAATGAGGTGCTTCTACTTTTTTGTCTTTTATGACGCCTTGGTGTTGGTGAGCGACTCTTGTGTCTTCTAGGAGATATTGATCGGCTTCTTCGTCTATAAAAAACAAGAAAACAAATGAGAAATGGTTTATATGTTTAAAAAAATAATAATAACAGATAAGACCATAATACCCACCATACTGTCTGACCTAGCACAATAGAGATAAAAGCAATTTACAGTTACCTCTTATATTGCTAAGTACAAACTGTGAGCTCCATCTTTTATCACAAGAAACCGCTAAATGTCACAATCGAGCAAGAAAAGAGCACGAATCAGCACCCATCACCTGCTCACTCCCCATTTGGAGGGGAGCAATTGCTTTATTATGTTTTTTTTTTGTTATGTTACATTTAGTATGCTCTTCACAAGACTCTTCTATATGCCTTTTCAAGATTTAGTTGAAGTCGGATCTCTTACGAGATATGTTTTCAAGTCAAAAACTTGGAGAAAGATTTGAGAGTCATCAAAACCAAATATCACAGGTTTCATATGAATACTGCTACATGTCATTTGAGCATTAGGGGGAAAGCACATATTGAATTCAAGTAAAAACCCAATGTTTCTGGTGAAAGCTCCTGTCAAATATGCAGTCCATATCTATTATATCATAGCTCCACCCTATGATGAAACTGAAAGTTCCTCTCTAAATTCTTCCTCATGACTGAATAATAAGAACTGTGTTTGTACAGAAACAATCTCACAAACATGGTATGGCTGCAGCATCCTAGATTTGTAAAGATATAAGCCAGGTACCAGAGAAAACCGAAAAAAGTTCTTAAATTTGGAGAGTTAATGCTCTTTTAAGCTCGATAAAGCCAAAACCAATCACATAACTTTAACTATATGTCACATATCATAACGCCCAAACTTCACTCGAAGTAAAAGATAAGAACTTAACTATGACAAGAAAGTTGACTACTACACAGAAATATAACTGTTTAAAATCATAGAGAACTGTTCATAAAACTCACAAAAGTGTACTAAGAGGTAAAAATCTACATTCAGTTGACTGCTAAAAAATCAAACGCACAGGGATTAGGGTAATCTTAATCGGGTATCAATCACCTGCTATGAGAATAAGGAGATCGGCTGCTTCTATCTCTTCGGCTTCTGTATCGGCGGCTGCTATACCTGTGTACCACCGGCGACGGTGACCTTGAATACCTCCGCCTTTTATACGACGGTGACCGAGACAATTCCCTATCTCGAGCCATATCTCCACCAATAGATTATATCTAAAACAAAAAGTATCTCCTGAAATTGTAGTATTGTTCCGATATTAATACAAAGTTTTATAAGAATCAGATTGACTGAAATTATAGCGAAAAATTATAGAAATTTCGTATTGGTAGTTGAAAATTCTGACGAATCATAATCACGAATTCACCTGTCAAGACGATTAGTAAGATGTGCAGAAGACGATCGTACCTGAAAAGGCGTTGGAACCCTAGAATGTAGATTGTGTCCTTTTTTTTCCTTTCAGTTTTAGAACTTCAATCCTAACCAAACACGGATGAGAAAGACAAAATTACAAAAATGTCCCTATGGTTTGCCAAAAGTAACAAAGTTAGTCCCTATTAATTTTTTTTGATGCAAATGGCCCCTTTGGTTTGCAAAACTTGCACAAATGGCCCTTTTTACTAACGCCGTTAGTATTCAGCCGTTAGGGACTGAATTAGCAAGGGTATTTTCGTCTTTTCAAGTATAAAGGGACTGGATTCGCAACTTTAGGTAAACCATAGGGACCATTTTTGTAATTCTGTCTAAAAATGATAAAAAATAAGGGGAGAAGAACCAAAGCTCTAACCAACTAGCCTAGAGCCAAACTTGTTATTTAATTCCGAAAATTAATTAATATTATATAAAAACGTAAATAATTAATAATAAAAAAATATTTAGAAAAAAAAATTAATAAAACAAAAATATATTTTTAGCATATTGTAAAAAATATTTTTTACAAAAAATTTACTTTTTTTTACGTATTTGTTTTACATAAAATATTTTTTTAATGTATTTCAAAAAATACGTTTTCGTATACTATGTTATTACATTGTTATGATCCTAAAACATTATTTTACGTTTTCATATAAAAATACGTTTTTTTTTTCTTTCACATAGAAAAAAAAAATTTACGTATAAAATATGTTTTTTATATATTTAAAAAATACATTTTCGCATAAAATGTTTTTACGTAAAAAACATTAAGAACGTGATAACATAACGTAAAAATATGTTTTAAGATCAAATCAAAACGACTTATATTTTTTTACGTAAAGCAAACTAAAGACGTTAACATAATGTAAAAATGCGTTATTTTTTACGTAAAAATGTGTTTTTTTTACGTAAAAATGCGTTTTTTTACGTAAAACAAACTAAAGACGTTTTTTTTACGTATGGGTGATTGATCCCTCACCCATATAACGTTTTTTTTTTTACTTAAAAACGTTAACGTGATAACATATTATATGAAAACGTATTTTTATGCATTTTATGTAAAACAAATACGTAAAAAAACAAGTAAATTTTTTGTAAAAAATATTTTTTTACAATACACAAAAAATATATTTTGTTTTATTAATTTTTTGTCTAAATATATTTTTTTATTTTTTTATTATTAATTATTTACGCTTTTATATAATATTAATTAATTTTCAGAATTAAATAACAAGTTTGGCTCTAGCCTAGTTGGTTAGAGCTTTGGTTGAATAAGGAGGGGGAAGGATGTCCCAAGTTTGAATCCTCCTCCCCTCATTTTTAGACAGAATTACAAAAATGGTCCCTATGGTTTAACTAAAGTTGCGAATCCAGTCCCTTTATACTTGAAAAGACGAAAATACCCTTGCTAATTCAGTCTCTAACGGCTGAATACTAACGGCGTTAGTAAAAAGGGTCATCTGTGCAAGTTTTGCAAACCACAGGGGCCATTTGCATCAAAAAAAATTAATAGGGACTAACCTTGTTATTTTTGGCAAACCACAGGGACCATTGTTGTAATTTTATCGATGAGAAATAATAACTGTGGGAATCTAAGGGGCTCTTTATGACATTAAATGTAATATAGTAATGTTTATCAAGTTTTTATTTGAAATTGCAAATTACTCCCTTAAATTTTAATTTTACCTTTTTAGTCTAAAAACTAAAATAAACCAACACATTTAGTCAAATCTATGGTCTAGAAAGAAATGAACTGTTAATTTATTTATGTTATTGATCTAAAAAAAGTTAGGCAGTTTTTTTCTGCTTCTAGTTGAAGGGAAAGGGGAAATGATCAAAAGCTTATGTTTTTATAATTTTGTTAATAAAGAAAAGTTGTCGGTTTGTTTCTTTCCAAATGAAGGAAAAAAACTTATGTTATCACAAATCCGTCATAATATTTGATAATGGTAAGAAATTAAAAATATGAGACATTTTTCTATCATAAAACCTTTTAAAATCTTTTCTTTTCTTTCCCATTCTCTATCCTTTTGTCAAAAAAAAAATATTGAGAACATTGTGTAACATTTAGAATATGTTTAGCAAAACTAGGTGGTGGATTGCTATCGGAATTTGATAATCGATAGAATTGTTCAACAAAAGTAGATGTTATCTTTTAAAAGTGTAAAATTACCTACAAACCAAAAATAAAAAGCTCCCAAAATTACTTGAAATAGCTTTAAGATTTTAATCTAAAAGTTCGTATTGCCGAACAAAACTTTTTTTATTACTGAGTTTTTTCTTAAATTCTAAAAACTAAAAAATACTCAAAAGTTGGTTGTCGAACATCCCTTTAATAAGCTCATACCTTCCCTGAAACGAGACTTATTTCTAGTTATAGATCTTAACGTGGGGCATTGGGGCATACCAAATATAAAGATATAATTACAAATACTTATAATTCTATTCTAGTAATTTGAACATGATATAGTTAAATCTCAAACTGGATTTAAAATTTAGGAATAGCTAACATGATAAACCTTTGGTGAGAATGTTAGCATATTAATTAGGGTTTGCCTACCAATTGTTATATATATATATATATATATATATATATATATATATATATATATATATATATATATATATATATATATATATATATACCGATTATGTATTATGTAGGTGCGTAATTGTTTACATGATAGCTTTTTTACGTATCATACTATCAGATGTTTCATTCAATTTTGTAAATATTAGACCCCGCTCCTCCAACAACATCAATACATTATCCCAATTCTGCAGTTTCGCACCATCAATAGGCGTGTCACCGTCCTTGTCTTGTAGTGTACTGCATAAAACCCAACAAAACTACTACTGTTAGTGATACTGATATTGATACTGATATTTTGATGTACTGTCAATATTTTGATGTACTGTTTGGGTTGGTGGTTTCATAAGCTTACATGTCAGCACCATAATCAAGCAAAAAGGCAACACATTCTTTCTCTCCATAAGCAGCAGCATAGTGCAAGGGGGTGTCGTTATTATTATCTAAAGCATCAACTTTGGCTCCAGCCTCAAGGAGAACTTTTGCACATTTCACCTACACAAATATATAAATATATAAGCAATAAAGAATTAAGTAATTAATTAATTTAATGGAAGGAAGATACTAAAAATATTACTTCCCCAAATCCACATGCGAAATGCAAGGCTCTCCTTCCCTCTGAATCTTCCTCCTCCTTGTCTGCCCCATAATATAAAGCTCTCATTAAACCCTATATTTATTTCACCAAACATTCATTTTTTATTTTAATTTCAACTTATGATATCGGTATACAAAATACAAAAATGCACCACATACTTTCACCATTTTGTCAACTTAGCCCCTTAACTATTTTCTTTAATCATTACACCATCATTTTTTACCCATGTTTTTTATAAACAAATAAAAAAAGTAGAGAAAAATGTTTGTGAAGATTGTGTACCTGCAAATTACCAATAATAGCAGTCTTATGAACAATACACTTTTTTTTTCAGCATCAACTTTTTTGACTGGAAGACTCATTTCTTCACCAAATTTAATCAAAAGATCTTTGGCATTCCAGTATCTAATATTTAAGCACAAAAAGGTTATTAAAAAAAACAATGTAAAAGTGTATAATGTTGTTGTAAACAGTTACCTTTTAGTAATGTACTTCCATCGATTTGTTTATTATAGCATCTTACTTTCATTTCTTCACAAATACCCGATCAATATCATAGCAATGTCATATATACATAAAAGATAATACACAAACCAATTTTCAAAGTACAATTTCTTAATAAGAAAAAGAGTAATTAAAAGTAAAAAGTTGTAATAAAAATGAAATGCAAGTAGGTTGCTATATTACACAAATAAATGAAAGTATGTTGCTTAAATGCAAGAAAATAGCAACATACTTCCATTGATTATGTAGCATCCTACTGTTACTTCTTCCTATTACAGCATTGTATTTTGAAATGAGAAAAAATCTAAAAGCATAATGCTTTAATAGAATAAAAATGTAAGTAAAATGCTATATTACAAAAAAAAATTAAAGTATGTTGCTATTTCTTGCATTTAACATTTGTATTAATCATGATATGCAAGCTTGTTCACCTCATCATTGCAGTTAGACCACCAGTTTCAATATCTTCCAAGATATGTTTCAAGGAAGGATCCTCTTTCATGCTAGCCATCTTTTCTTCAATTTGTTTCTTATGATGTGGATTAGATGCACTCTCAACATTTAACAAGTTTAAAAGATTATAAATTCTCAACATCTGAGACATTGAAGGATCCTGCAAAACATAAACAAATGAAATCGTTTGTAATTTGCAGTGTTTTTTATATGAACTTAATGAATGTAGGTAGACTTTTGTAAATTCAACACAATAAGAATAAGGTGTTGTTTCTTTTCGACTTAATGAACTTAATGAGAACGTCTTGATCAGGTAAGCTAGCAAAAGAAAGGAGTAACATACATCAAGTAGGGCAGCCATAGATGAGAAGTCAAAGGGAATTGCAGGAAATCCAGCTCCTGGTACAGATGTGAATTAGAAGATTACAAAATCAATCAAGAAAATATTAACTGATCAACATCTATTTCAAAGAGAACATCATTTAAGTGGATTGAGAGGAACTAGACTCATTCAATTCCCAAAATAAGAGCACTCTGACTCCTAGAGAGCTAATTGTGAGCTCATAAACCCTAATTACACCATCGATTAATCTTTTATCAATCATCATCTTAAAGCAATCTAAAAGTTTGAAGTTGATATAGTCAACACAAAGAAGAACAAACCGGTGTCGATTGTAGTAGGTGTGGCATCAGGAACCTTCTCGTTCACCTGCAAATGAAACATAATCAAAATCATCGATCAACAAAACTTCGCACAGGTGTAAGTCGATTCAAGTTTAAAATAAATCCAGACATTCAAATTTGACGAAGATTAAGACTACAGTGAATCGAACTGTGACGTGATTGAAAAGAATAACAGGTTTATGCAAATGGCATCTGATATGATAAGGCGGCGCATCATTTGATTAGGTACTGTGTTTCCCCCTTCTCTCCCGAAGATCAATCACAGAAGGTTGAAAGAACAAAAGCGCGGCAAAATCAGGCGAAATGTAACGATATAAATATGGAAAATATAGTAATAAAGCAATCAAACACGAAGAAAAGAGTATAATTAACAAACCTTCGATATCCTTCTCCTCCGCACATCATCTGCTAGCTTAGGTCGCTCGTTGTCACCCTTGCTTTCACATCCATCAGCTTCTCCTCCGTGAACATCTACGTTTCCAGATTGATCTTCATCCTCGAATTCTTCGTCCTCTTCTTCATCATACTCATTTCCAACATCGTCGCCATCATTCATCGATTGCTGCTGCTCTTGTTCCCGCTTCTGCTTGTCGTAGTACTGGACCTGAACGTTCCCTTCATCATTCATCTCGTATTGAGCCGAGTGCGATGGTGGTGATCGAAGTTCAGAGTCTATGGTCTTCCTTCTAGGTCTGCCCTTGATCGGATTTGTATTGATCCGATTTGACGAAGGGTTAGTGTTTCTTCGTGCAGTCATTTACCCTTTTTCTCTCGAATCGTTGAGTGCAGACAAGAGATGCAAACGGGGGCGCATTTAGACGGATACCACATCCATCCCCGCCCCCGCCCGACTTAATCCCGACGGATTCGGGTGAAAAAATCCCCGTCGTATACGGGGACCCGTTTGATAAATAAATTCCGATATTTTTCTAAAATCTAAAAAATATATAAATAATACTAAGCGAAACTTGGAAAAGCACACGAGAAGGAAAACAAAGCCACAATATGTCAATATAGACTAGCCATTAACAACGAAGAATACTAGCTAAACAAAATTAAAAAAAAAAAAAACTTGGCTTGCTAAATTATAAAATTTATGACAACAACAAAATGAGTGTGGCCAAGGTTGCATCAACCACAAAAAGAAATTAACACTTTGAATATGAAGAAAAGCAAATCGCTGAAGGTAAATACTCATTGGTTTTAGGAAATTAGAAAAGACACTAATGGTATTTAACGAAATTTGGATTTTCGATAAATGCTCCAAGTAATTATAGCAGACGATTCAATACTCTAACACATTTAATAATATTTAGTAAAACTTTGAATTCCAATATATATATATATATATATATATATATATATATATATATAATCGGGTTTTAAATGGAGCGGATAGTAGCATAACCGTCCCCGCCCCGTCCCCGCTTCGGGTAGAAAAATCAAGACCCGTCCCCGCCCCATTACCCGTTATAACGGACAATACCCGCCCCGTTAGGGTCGGATACCCGCGGGTACCCGAATCCGCGGGTCAAACTTGCATCCCTATGGCTTTAATACCATTCGGAAATTCTGGGTAAGTAGGGGTTGCATGCCGCGAAACCTTAAAAAATTAAAATGGTGTAATTGAAAAATTATAGAGAGGATTTTATGGGTCAACCCATCTATTAATTGATTTCAAAAGGCCCAACATTTTTATTTAAATGGATAGATATTTCTAATCCAACCTAACCTTTCAAATAAATTGGTTATCATCGGGTTGATCCGTTTATGTAATTCCTAACCCAACCTATTAAATATATAGGTTAAACCTGAGCTAACTCATTTAAAATAGAAAAGTAAATAAATTAACTAAAGATTAAACCACTTAAATTAGTTCAAAACGTAAGTAAACTTTCAAAAGTATAATAAATGCTTAAATGTACAATCCTAATTCATAAACACAAAGAAATTGTTCAGATAACATTAAAGATATATAATTTCGAAATGATTTTAAAAAGTCACTAGTGTTGTCGGCGCAAAGAAAAAAAATAAGAATTATGATTGCATTTTTTAAAACATAAATAATAATACAACATTGTAATTTATAAATTATATATATATATTAAAGTTATGAAGAAAAGTAACAGTAAACTTGCCCATTTTTTGTCAATTTTGGTCCCCATACTTATGTTGGTTATTTCTACCAATGTATTTGTCATTTTTTTATTTTTATTTTTCTTCCATCGTTGTTTTTTTGTTAAAGTTGCTTCCTGTCAAATGTTTATGGTTTCCACGTGTAATTATCTACATTGGGATGGACACGTGTTTCTGTTTTCGAACGTATGTCCAGCTCCACCGCCTTTGACTGCTTTCAAACTTTGACATATTCTCGATTCTTCTTCAGTTTTTCTAGCCGTACCATCTCGGATAAACATTCACATTTTCTTCCTTCTTCTATCTAAAAAATTGTTCATTAATCTTCCAAAATCCTTTCATCCTTTCCATTTCCCATCTCTTGCCTCCGACCCAACCTTCTCCTCTTTCCTCAACAATTCAACGTATTTCTTTCACTGTCGGTCACTTATAGATTTGGACCGATCGGATACCACCGATCGGAACTGTGTCTGCAACGACTTATAGCCCTAAACATAGAGGGAAACATTGACTGCGATGTACTCCAAGTCTGACGATCGCCAACTTTAATCCCGACTATTCGGAGTGATCAATGGTCCGCGCCTGAACGTTCTTCTTCCACGGATTCCATCATCGCACTAAACAAACTGCAGGTTCCAGTCCGATTTCACATTTCACAGTTCTCTTTCTGTAAGTCCTACACCCAAAAATGGTATGTCTTCTCAAAATTAGGGCATTCTTTTTTTTAGTTGTCGTTAGTTTCTTCATAAGAAGGCACCATTTATGTTTTATAAAATGTTTACAGGCGGAATCTCAATATCATGCAACTTTTTTTTGTTAAAAGGTCATGATATTGCCCTATTGCATTCCAATTTTCAACCTATTATTAATACTGCTTACTTCTTTTTTCTCACTTTTACGGTTTTACCCCTGCAGAACATTCAAAAGATGGTGAAAGATGGTATTGATACATGGGCACCAAAGCTTGTAGTCAAAAGGGCAATTGTTGACTTTCCAGCCACATCCACTTTTAATATATACAGAGCTTGGATTTCAATGATGTATTGGGTTGGACTAATTTACACCAAACTTAACTTAACCTTTCGCAGGTAGAACACAAGAAGTAATTTTCTATTATATTAAGGTTTGTGAAAAGAAGGAGATTGGTAATAAAAGCGGTGGAACGCACATGGATGCCAAAAGTAAGTATCTTGAACTATATTAATTGTTAAAGGTTAATAATAATAGAAATTACTACATTTTGTTCTGAATCTTATGTAGACAGGTAAGTTGATATAATTTCAATTTATGCCTTACAATTTCTAACAAGTTTTTAAAACTTTCTAATGCCATTTTCGATATTTTAGGGTCAACTGTTAGCTTATGTTAGCTTACAGAAAGTAATATGGAGTGAAAAATAAAAGCAAAGTTGAGGTAATGAGAAAGCAAGAAAGATTACAATAAGAGAGGTAGTGGAATTGGCCTTAAAAGTCGCAAGAAAGATTACAATAAAAGAGATGCTTACAGCTTATGTTGTCATACCAATATACCAATATGGCTTGCAGTTGTTCCATATGTTTTATGGATCTACCATTTAAATACTTTTATAACATACAGAGCGAGAGTCGACGTGGTTGGGCACTTACCTACAAAGCTTTTTAGTAGAACTCCGGAGGATGCAATCCCCACGTATCTGAAACAGCTTCAGCAACAGAAAAGCAACATATCATTCCTTCAGTTTTCTTAATTTTCATAATCTATTATAAAATGTAGACTTGAATAATGCATTGTATTTACATAATATGTGGCCTTTTTCATGTAGGGTTTAGATGGGGTTGGTGTACAAATGAATTTAAATTGAATGCAAAAAAATAATATTTTATGCACTTAAATTTCTTCAGTTAATAACAGGCATGCATTGAGAGCACATATGTTATGATCCAAGGTCTTGATATCCCGAGCGTTGCCCTTCTTTGTGAAGCTGATGTGATTGGTAAGAACTAATTGATCCATTACCGAAAGTGTGTGTATTGTTGATTTGTAGGTATACGAATACTAATACTCAACTGGTTTTTAGAAAATTGTATTAAAACATTGTCCATATTTTTATACTGCTTATGTTTGTTTTATAGGGTCTTCGTATTGGCCATAACCTAGCCTTACCCATTGCTTTATTTAATATTCGAGAGGTAATACTTTACTTTTTCTTAACAGGGTGTTGCTGCCGCACTTGCTATTTACTTTGCAACACAAAAGGGTCATTATATTATAGCATACTACATTACATTTGTGTATTTGTAAATGGGCGAAACGTAGACAATAGCAACATACTTTACTGTATCTACCAATTAGAACAATGTACTATACTTCCACACAAAAGCGACACCTTCCGACCCCCGCAACGCGGGGGTCACCTTTCTAGTTAATAATTAGATTAATACATGGTAATATTTAAATTAAATATATATTGCAGTTAAATGGGTTGGTGAGTTGAAAACGGGTTGACAACATTTACCAACCCAACATGGGTTACGCGGATTAACCCATTTATCCTAAATAGGTTGAAAATCTCAATCCAACCTGCTAATGTTGAGTTGGGTTCGGGTTGGATTGGTGGGTTGGGTCTATTTTTGCCAGCTCTAAAAATTTATGTAGTTACAAAACATAATTTATAATAAAGTTTATAAAAATGAAAAAAAAAGTTTAAAAAATATGTAAAAACAACAATATTTAAAATCTGCATTGTATATCAACAAACTACGGTTTCTAAGAAAAAAAACTAATTTTGTAAAAGTAAATTCATAAAAAGTTGAAAAAAAAAACTATGTAAAATTGTATAAAAACTTTGTAAAAATATAAGCTTTAAAAACACACACAAAAAGTTATAAAAATTGGGAAAATTTTGTAAAAAATGTTTGGACAAATTTGTAAAAATCATCATTTCAGTGATTAAATCATAACTCCATTTACAAGTCATGACTTAATCATTTAATGAACTTTTATATCAAAATTAATTATTATCTATGTATAACTCATCAATATACCACTTAATTGATTAAGGTATAAGCTCATTTTGATTTAAACCCAATTTCATCAAATTAGAGTTCATCATCCTTTTTCTCAAATTTAACAATTCAACCATGATTTTAGCAGAAGATGCTTGAGAGCATGATTATAATGTTAGCTATACTTAATGTTAGATATACTGTAACGCCCTGTTCCGAATCGATTCCTAGTCTAAGGTTGTGGCCCGAAGATCGGTCATCATAAGGATTATGGCTTTTGAAAAGGCAAGATCTAGGCCCATTTGGGTGCGGGTGATGTATTAGAAGTGATCCGGGTGTTCGGTTCGTGTTTTGGAGCTTAGGGTATTTCGGTATAGTGTCAGTTCGGGTTTTTGTGGAAAATTGGTTTTTGTTCGGAAGGTCTTAAGAAAGGTATGAGTTGATATAAGTGTAGGGCTTCTTGTTATCTTTCCGTGGATATAAGGATCGTCAGAATCGGGCTTATAACGAAGAAGTTATGGCCTTCGGGAGTTTCGCGGTTTTCAGGCTTAGCCGAGTACGCGGGGCGTACTAGTGAAGAAGGCAGTACGTGGGGCGTACCTTGGAGTACGTTGGGCGTACTGACCAGGATGGTCGCGAATGATCTTCGGAGTACGTTGGGCGTACTATATGTACGTTGGGCGTACGACAGTCAGATCAGAACTCTATTTTAGGGTCTTGGACCCTATTTAAGCTCATTATCTCATAACCTAACCCTAATATCTTCAGCCTCCATCCCTCTAAGCCCTATAAATCGACCCTTAGCCCCCATTTGAGTGATTGTAGAGCTTCAAAGTGATTTTTGTGTGTTTTGGTGCTTGATGAGGAAGAAGGAACTTCTTGAAGAGTCATTGTTTGACTTGGAGCTTTTTGATCCAAGCTTTGTGCACCTAGATCTATCTTCTGGAGGTATAAAGTCTTAACCTTGACATCTTTTTCATGTAGATCTAGCTAAGTGGTACATTGTTATGGTTTTGGTCCCTTTGAGGTGGTTCTTGTGAGTAGAAGTTACTCCAGAACCTTTGAGCTTCATATTTGGTCTTTATTGAGGTTATGGAGTTATAAAGTTTGGATCTTGATGGGTAGAAACCTTCCATGCATGATTTAGTAGTCATTTGATGAAGTTTGGGACTTAGGGTTTTTATTTGGGCCCCATTGAGTTATGTTAAGTCATAAAGTTGGAAACTTTATGACTTAAGAAGTCCCTTGAAATCAGATCTGGAAGTTTGGACTGAGGTCTTAAGGTATTAATAAGTTTTAAGACATTTTGGGAGTGATTTTGACCTTTTGGAATTCATCTTTGGTGTTTGGGCTTCATTAAGCCATGCAAAGGCTTAAAACATTAGACTTTATGGATCAAGTCACTTATATTTTGCTATTATGAGGTGTTGGACGTCTTGACTTAATGGATTAAGAGCTAGAATTGAGAGTTGTTCATCAGGAGGAGTACGTTGGGCGTACAAGCCTGTACGCGTAGCGTCCAAGCTCTTAAGCTAGTACGCTTAGCGTACAAGCTGAGTACGCCCGCGTACTCAGCAGAGTGGGATTTCAGGTTTTAGGCTTTGGTTTGGGCCATCTTTTGGGCTTTGTTGTTTTGGGCCCTGTTGGGCCATCAGGTTTTGGGTTGATATTTATTTGTGGAGGCCCACTATGGTTTTGGGCCCAATTTAGAAAATTGGGCCATGGATTCCTATCAACATGTTACATCTCTCGTAATAATATCTGCTATGAAAAACAAAAACAGGTGTCACACAAACACATAGAACTTTATAATGAAAACCTAAAATATCAGAAGTACAATGGGGAGAATAAGATGGGGAGGATGAAGATAAATAAATGGAGTTCTCGAAACATGCAACTGTAACACCCATACTTTTTGTATAATAAAATACAATGGTTTTGAAAACATTATTTTATAAACTTTGAGTAAGGTTTACAACAGAATCCAACGAAAACCTAAAACAATTTACTTGTTATTTTAAAAATAATTTATCAGGTGTATAACTGATAACTTTCAAACCATACTAAAGAAGTGAATTTACATAGATTACAGAAACCATGTTCAATTTTAATCCTTTAAAAGCCCACTGCCAACAATGCAATCACAAATCTTCTAGCACTTCATATCTAAATCTAGAATGCATGGCATTTAAAAAAATATACGTAAGACAATAATGTCTCGTGAGCTACATGGGTTAGACAAAAAACCATTATCAATCATTTGAACAAACTTTTCATTTCCACATGCTTTATACGATTTAACATATGTTCACAAAGTACATATTCATAAACATAATTAACTCTTACGGGCCTTCTCGAATCATATATTCAGGTTCGCATAGTCATTTGATTATAAACTAGTCCAATCATTATTAAACATTTGATAAAACTCTTCCATTTCAACTTACTTTATACAATGCAGCTTACATGTATGTAATGCATGATTAAAATCAAAATGATCTTACAGGCCTTCCCGTATCACACTCACGTATTGATATACGGTCCTTCGATTACATATCAATCCAAACCTTAAGGTAAATTATAGAAATAACACCATATCAATCCTAACCAAAATAGGAAGAACAAATCAACTCATTGAAGTATCAACTTCTACCTCATGAAGGGATGTATAGTCCCGGTAGAGTCGTCCCTTATCCTGTTATTGGGATATCGAAATTGTTCGAACACTATAATTATGCACTCGTATCCAATGTATCCAAAATCACTAATTTCCTCTTTGTGACTCAATCAGATGTATTTATCTTCTTTTATTTAGCAGTCACTAAATACTAACTTGCATAATATAAGCAATTTATCAAATCAAGTATTTAGATATCAAAATCTTTAACGTAAACTTATATCACTCTTTTATCTTTCAAAATCATGTATACTCAATAATACTTTTACTAAGAGTTTCTTTATTCAGAAATTTCATATTATTCAAATCCTTAAACTACTATTTTGAAAAGAGCTCATTTACCTCTCCATCACTACTTTTTCGTTTCAAAAATATTTCAAGTAATACATACTCTTTCAAAGAGTTCATTTGATTAAACCATTACACTAAAAATGTAACGCCCGCAGATCCGGGCTAGTCAATTTAGAGACGATGAACATCAAAAATGAGTTTTTGATGAAAGGTTATTTAGAAGGATTAATCTTAACCAAGTTTTAGTATATGTTACAAGGGTTCCGTACATATAAAGAACGCCGAAATCCGAGTTATAACGAAGAAGTTATGGCTCGTCGAAGTTTTTCGGCAAAACCGGCACGGCACCGGGAGACGTAAATAGTGAATTTACGATGGAGGACTTTTTGGCCTTATAAATCTAAACAAAAATTGTAGTATACATTAAACCGAGAACATACAAAAAAAGAACGCCCAAATCTGACTTCATGTGAGGAAGTTATGAATTTTCTAAGATTTGGCTTAGCAGTGCACAGCCCGAAACTCGAATTTTAGATCGAGCGGTTTTTGGCCTACACGAGCTAAATGAGAATTGAAGATCTCATTAATAGAAACTCAATGGTAAAAATACAGACGAAAACAGAGTCTGTATGTAGAAGTTATGAATTTTACGCGGACATTTAACAGTATAATCTCCTCGTACTGTTAAATTTAAGATCAGTCGCGAATTAGCTGATGGAGTCAAAATGAAAGTTGTAGATCTTATTTTTACCTACGCGTGGATATAAATAACGTCAAAAACGGAGGTCGTATGTGAAAGTTACGGATTTTAGAAGTCGGAAGTGTGTTGTGCGAAAATGGGTGATGTGGCACAATCTTGGCCATTGCTTTCTCCCCAAGTCTTGCCACTAGATGGTGACATGTGGCACCAAGTTCAGCCATTTTCACCCTATAAATAGAACCTCTCCCACCCTCATTTTCTTCACACCTTTCCCATTCTTTCTTCTCTTTACTCTCTCTCTAGAACCTCTCTCTAGCCCCGAAACCCCCCGAAAAGCCTAGGGAACCTCCCTAGCACGAGGCGGAAGCCCCGGAGTGCTCGACGGCTCCGAGAAGAAGAGCTTTTCGGCTCGGGAACGTTGCTCCAAGCAAAGCCCGGTTTTCTATAAAACTCGTTGTAAGTAAGCTACGCCTACGCTATTTTTAATATAGCTTTTATTTAATTATAGTAACGTTATTAGGAACTTATAATAAGTACTTGGGCTATTATTATGGGTTATATAAGTATTGTTTAACGCTTATATAATAGTAATAATAGCTAGACTATTAATTAGTCTCGACGAATAATAGACTAAACTCTAGTGGTAATAATATTAGGTTTCGTCGAAGGAAATTATTTTTTTAAGAAGCGAAGCGCTGTCTGAGTTCAGAATCACCACCTTTTCAAGTGAGTGCATAGTTACTTTCATCTTACACATAGATATGAAGTATTTAATATAAACTCTAGTGGTAATAATACTAGGTTTCGTCGAAGGAAATTATTTTTTTAAGAAGCGAAGCGCTGTCTGAGTTCAGAATCACCACCTTTTCAAGTGAGTGCATAGTTACTTTCATCTTACACATAGATATGAAGTATTTAATATAAATTACGTGTTATGTGTGCATATTATATGTGTTCTTAATATCTACGAGGGATGAACGATTTATACATGTTTTAAATGATTTAAACTGTATATGTATTTTATATCTACGAAAATGTTGGGTAAAACATGGGTAGATGAAATAGTTGATGTGTGATAAAATGATGAGAGGCCTCAATGTTTAAGATGACCTAGCCATCTAGCGGAGTATAGATGACGACCACGGACTATTCTAGACAGTCCAGTGGAACACTAGCAGTCTCGTAATTGTAGGTGTTTTTGAATTACGTATTCACTAGGTATTTTTGAACTAAGTGTTCACCATATGTTTTCAACTAAGTGTTCACCATACGTTTTGAACTACATGTTCACCAGATGTTTTGAACTACGTGTTCACCAGATGTTTTGAACTGCGTGTCCACCAGATGTACCCTGTTGTATAAACCCTGACGAGTATACGACTTAGTGCCTGTTGTATAAACCCTGGCGACTATGAGACTTCGTGCCTAAACCCTGGCGACTATGCGACTTAGTGCCTGTTGAGTAAACCCTGGCAACGATGGATTCCATGCCGATTCCTTAGGATGATCCTTAGGAATGAATGAACGAGGAATAGTTGAATCTTAGGGTAGATCCTTAAGAGTAAAGAAGATAATGGGGATGGGTAATTGGGTTAATTGTTTGATAATTAAAAATAATAATTATATTATTGTGGGTTGAAAACCCTATGTACTCACCAGGTTTCCCAACCTGACCTACTCAGTTTATTTGTATCACAGGTGTCGATATTAGGTTACATTACACTGACGGATTAAGGAGATATAAATCATTAGTGATAATGAATGCAAGTTCTGTTTATGCTAATGTTTCTGTATTGACGATGACATCCCAATATTTTAAAATGAATAAAAATACATTTCTTCGGAAATGCTTTGATAATGTATTTATCATGTTTTTCTGTGAACAAATTCCGCAACATATTTTTCAAAAGGATACTCTGATTTTTAAATAAAGCATAAACAAAAAAAAAATCGGTATTTTCTGGCCGTGAAAATGGGGATGTCACAAAAAATTACTCTAGAAGCATTTAATACTTCAAACTCAAGTTATGCTTTTATCTTTTAAAAATCGTTCGAGGATATGAAATATTCCTTCTAAATCATCCATTGGAAAAAGACATATGTACTCACCTTGTTAGTTAGTGAAAACTAACTATCACCCTTTTATTTCACTTGGCGCTTCTTCGCCAACTTTGCATGAAACAAATCCCCTTGCCAAAAACCTATTCAAATAACACATTAAAACTCTTAATAACATGACTCGTTCCATAAAGAGCTTAATCCGATTCCATATCCAAAATGATCATTCACGTGATCACATAAATTTCATGTTACAACTTTTTGTCTAAAAATCAATTAAACTCCACAAATATATTCTCTACATGTCTTAATTCATCCGGGCATTAACTTGATTTCACATATTTCATCAAATTCATTCATAGGTGTTCATATGCTTTAACTATGTGTTAACTTCAATACTTCAGTAAAATTAATTGTACCCCACGAATAACTTGTTTATATGTCTTAATTCCTTAAGCATAAGCTCAATTTTTATTATCTAACATATCACCCACTTAGGGTTTGAGCTCATCCATTTCCAATTCATTAAATTAACCATAGACTAGTGATAATAAGCTTAAAATCATGATCACAACACTTGAAACAACATTATACTAGCAATTCAAAGCATTTGTAGCTATTACAAGCAATTCCTATAAGGTTCACGAGCTCAAGCTTGTTAGAGAAGATGCTCTAACCTTTTGATCCATTAAATAGAGGTTTGATTCTTGTTTTCCTTGAAATCACTTGATTAAATCTTCAATTCTTGGTGGAAAGAGCTCCAAAATTGCCTCAAGAGGTTGTCCTATGAAGTGGGAAAGATTGTGATAGTTTGGCTACAAATGAACCTTTATCCTCTTTCTTTTAAACATCGTCCCGATTATACGATCACGTTACACCATCGTGTAACTCTACAAAGGCCCCAAACTGGTAATCTACTTCTTAGAATCTTGTTTTAGCATTTTGGCATACTTACACGATCATATAATCATTCCTGATGACCAATATTAACATTTTACTCTCATTCCTTCCTTTTTTGGTACTTCGGGATGATTACATTACCGTGTAAGGTCTTCACACGATCGTGTAATGCCCTCTGGTACACACTTAGACAATGTATTTTATATTATATACTTCTACGACCCATAACTTCCTCATACGAACTTATATTTTGATGAATTTAATATCCACCGAACCGTGTCAAAGTGAACTACAACTTTCTTATAATAAGTTTCTACCGAAAAGTTATACATTTATTTATAGAATAATAGAAAATACAAGTTATAACACTAAGTTATTTTTTGGGTCGCTATAGTCTCCAACACAAGGACTTTATGTGATATAATAGGGTCATTATAGTTTGACACAAGGACTTGTGATATAATAAGCCATAATTATAACTTAAAATGGTGGCAATAATTTTGTACGATTGGCAAGGAGCAATTGACATCAATTGTTCAAGAAAAAACGACCACAATGAGTAATTGTACAAAAAGACACCTGGACTCAACCTATCCAATCCGACAAACCACATGGATCGGTGTAAATTATACAAAATACATGTTATTTATACATGTTGTAAGGGTTACACCTCACAACATAAAATAATAGTGTTGTATGATAAATCAGGACGCCCGACGCAGTTTGATAATCCCCATTTCAGTGCCTAAATTTTGTATGGATAAAGTGGTTTTTATACAGAAACTTGGATTAATTTTTAAATAAAAAGCCAAAATAATTACTAGGACTCGAACCCCGGTTCAAAACCATGCTTTTCTAAGAAATCTAGGCTTCAACGACTTGCATGTAACTTGAAATGTGCCTTCCTATAAAGTAATCTATCTGACCCTAATTTAATATTTGAAATCCACTACCGAAACCGAATGAGGCAGAATAAAAACATGAAACTTGACTGTTTTGTTATAATCATTCACTCTCTACAAAGGACAGACGATTGATTAAAGAGGTCAAACATGTGATTTGACTAAAAAAATAGCACAAGACATGTAGCATAACAAGTTGGAATGAAAACCAAATCATTTCCATTACACTCACCAGTCACCAACACCCTCAAAAGCTTATACTTAAAGGAACGCATCCTTTTCCAACAGCTTCAATACATCGTTCTGGTTGTTCAGTTTTGCAACATCGATTGGCGTCTTCCCGTCCATGTTTTGTAGCGTACTGCATAAAACCCCCACAAAAATTAATTCAAAATACTGTCAACCGTCAACTGTCAACCGTCAACTGAGTGGTTAATGAACTTACACGGCAGCACCGTTATCGAGCAAAAGAGCAACACATTCTTTCCTTCCATAACCAGCAGCATAGTGAAGGGCGGTGTTTTTATTCTTGTCTAAAGCATCAACTTTGGCTCCAGCTTCAAGAAGAACTTGAGCACATTTCACCTGTAAAAAAAATATAAATATAAACACTAGTGATCTCGTAAATTTTAAAAAAAAAAAAATAATACAAATACAAGAAAATAAAAGAATAGCCACCATGATTAAAATCTATATTTTCCTATGTACTATGGTTTTTAACAAAAAGCAGAACAGGACACGACACGACAGAATATGACAGACCTTTGTACTGTGTTTGGCATGCATTGGACTAAGACCGGAACTAATGTCAATGGGACAAAAAATTGCATTTTTGTTCCCCACCCAAAAAGGTGGGACAGAGACTCGCTCTCAATCTCTTGCCTGTGCAAAAGACGTAAATGCCCTCCTCTTTCTCGTATTAGAAAATAGCCTTAGAAAGCTTGTTCGGTGTGGTCCTTACACTTGATTGGACCACACAGAAGAACTAAGACAAGCTTTTCTAGGGCTATTTTTTATGATGAGTACGAGGAGGGCCTTTACGTCTTTTGCACAGACAAGAGATATAGAGCAAGTCCCTATCCCACCTTTTTGGTTGGGACAAAAAAATGCATTTTTGTCCCATTGGTGTCAATGTTGGTCTTGGTCTTGTCCAATGCATGTCAAATGCAGTTCAACTTGTTTTGTTTGTATTGCGTAACAAATGGGTCCCACAATACCTGTTAGATATAAAATAAATATGAAATCATGGGGATAGTTAGTTTTCATGCTGCTCATGTATTTTTTTTTTTTCCATTGACCTTGTGTGTATAAAGAATTCCGTTTACACATTTTGTAATTATTTGGGCATGAAAAACAATACAATATTTATAACATTTAAATTAATGTTTACCTCTCCATATCCACATGCAAAATGCAATGCTGTCCTTCCTTCCGAATCTTCCTCGTCCTTATCTGCACCAGACTCTAATGCCTTCTTCAGACCCTATTTTTTCAAAAAAAAAACATTCAAAACATAATTTTCATCCAACTTTTTTGGCAGGAAAATTAGAGAAAAATAAATTAATACCACTATTTATCCCCTTAATTCTTTACTTCAGTGATTAACTAAAACATTATATATTTCTTATTATTATTTTCTCCCTATTCATTTTTTGAAAGAGAAAAAAGGAAAATGGGCTTTTGTTTTAATAAGTTAAATCATTAAACTAATTATAAAGTAGATTACTTTTTTATTTCCTTTTTAAAAAACAAAAACAAGATTTCTGAAAAATGTTTGTAGTACCTCCACATCACCAGTGCTAGCAGTCTGATGAACAATAGAGTCATCTTCATTTACTTCTTCTTCTTCTTCTTCAGCTTCACCTGCTCCTGAATTTCCACCAAAAGCTGTTGGATCTCCTGTCACTGGAAGACCCATTGCTTCACCAAGTTTTGCCAGAACATCTTTGTCATTCCAGTACCTAAAATCATACAATAACTTACTTTTTTTACCAACATTCTTTCTTTTCATTCATTTGCTTATTATGCAAGCAAGCTTACTCACTTCATCATTGCAGTGGGCCCACCAGTTTCTATATCATCTAAAATATGTTTCAATGAAGGATCTTCTTTGATACGTGCCATCCGTTCTTCAAGCTGATCCTTTTGAGCTGGATTAGATAAACTCTCAAGCATCTGAGACATTGATGGATCCTGCCAATTCCAAATCCCACACAAAATCATAAATCCTTTTGTAAATTTGTAGCATATTATTTATTATATAACAACCTTTTAAGAAACTAAACAAAATACCTGCATCAAGGCAGATCCAAGGCGTTCAGCCATGTTCATGAATTGAGGGTTTTGCATAACCTGTTGCATGGTGGAATAGTATTGTTGTGTATCAAATTGAGGGAGACCTCCTGCTTCACCTCCATGAAAGGTCTTCTGGAGTTGCTCTGCCATTTGGTTGAATGATGGATCTTTTGCTATTTGTTCAGCTAATTCCTTTACACTTGGATCCTGCATATATCAAGAAAAACAAAAGAATATGCTAGTGTACAGCTATTAATATACCTAGGTATTGTTTCTTTTTGACTTAATGGACTTAAAAGGAGTTACATTAAGTAGACCAGCCATAGATGAGAAGTCAAAAGGATTTGCAGGAATTCCAGCTCCTGGCATAGATGGTATTGCAGGTGTTGCTCCAGATTTGGTATTTGAGGAGCTTGATTCAGAGGGAGTTTTCTTCACAGCTGGATCAGTCTTTTCTTCTGAATACATTAAAGATATATATGTAAGGATTTAAAGAGTTCGCATAGAAAATAATACCCAACACAACACCTATGTAAGGAAGTCAACTTTAATAACCTTTTCCTTCTAACTAACTTTTTATTCTGGTCTATATTCGTTCATCAAACCTCTAAACACATGCTTTAGAAGATTATAAAACCAATCAAAAAGATGTAGGTAGTAGTTAAGGCTTGAGGTTGATGCTTGATAAACCAAATTCTGTGTCACAAAATATAATCAAATAATATTATCTGATCAATATCTATTTTCAAAGAAAAACCTTAGTTCCATCTTCGCCTTTAATTGATTGAGGAGCTAGACTCAGGGAAAGGGATAGGAACCCTTCACTTCCAGGATAATCAGTCCCTATTTTTCAATGAGAACAATGATTCTTTTACCTAAAACGAATAATCAGTCTCTATTTTTAATAAGTTGCTTACAATGAACAGCCTAAATCTGTAATTCAACTACAAAAGAGCTGATCGACTTAATAAAAAGCGTAAATTGAACAGCCTTTAATCTTCTATCAATCATCATCTTATAGCAATCTAAATATTTGAAGTTGATCTAAATAATATTCACGTAAAATCAAGGCACTATAATAAAACTAAAAACACACCGGTGTTGGTCTTAGGCTTGACATCAGAAACCTTTTCGTTCACCTGCAAAAGAAAAAAAAAACAATATAAAATCATCAACGAACTTCTGCACAAATACAAGTCGATTCAAGTTAAAAGGCTCCATAAAACCGAATTAAACAACCAAAATAATAAAGAAAAGAGAGAACGAATCCATTCAAAATTTTACAAAGTTTAAGGCTACAGTGAATCGAACTGTGACGTGACTGAACAGAAGTACAATTAACCAGATTCAAAAGAAAAACTAAACAAATTGAGCTCAAAACTGAATCACTTTACCTCCGACATGACGAGATTGCGAGGATAATCCTCCGTTATCGGGTGGGGAAACAAACTCAGATGATGAAGTGGAGTCGACAAAAAAGGCAGAGAGGAACACGAAACTGTGGGCCACTGCAATCCTCGCGTCTTTGACGAAATGAACGGCCTACGTACGGCTATGCCTGTTTACTACAGGGCTTCGTCGGCCCATCCTCTTTTGGGCCCATCCTATTTTTTCTCATAGACAAGTAAACAGGCCCAATAAGGCAAAAGCCAATAACTAATTCACCAATTTTGGTTAAGATTACACAAGTTGGGTTGGATATATTTTTCCTATAATGTAGTGTTACTCGGATTTTAACAGAATAAACATAATGTTTCAAATATATGATCGCGAACTCTAAGTAATGTTTTTTCTAACATAGAACATCACTGTGAATACAATTCCTGCTTCATAAGGAATTGTTATAATACGTCCAAGGCTCTCTTTCAAATCAAGCTCATATTTCTTTGGAAAATAGTGAATGTTTTTTGTGACTGATCAACCATGTATCAAAAAATTATTATCGATAAATAGTCATGACTCATGAGGCAACGTGTTTGGATATATTTAAGAGTTTGGAGATTCTATCTGTAGAGTATTTGTATGATATTTAAATAAATGATATGAAGACAATAAAACAATGACAAGAAAGTTGATTTGAATAAAATAAGCAAACTCCAACGACTTCTTGGATTCAAAATTCACACCTTGTTATTCTATTGTAATTGTTTTGGTTTTTCCCTGTGGCTATTTGCTTGTTCAATTAAAAAAAAAAAAAAAACTTTCTTTTTTGACGCCTGAAGAATCGATGAGTCTAGATCAGGGATTTGCACATCATAATCGTCTTAGAAGCTATAACTTAGCGTCATTTTCTCAACTTAAACGGCCCTGATGATAGAAACAACAAGGTCAATGTCTTAAATTGAATAACAATGACAAATGATAAAATATGTCAAAGTAAATATCATAGATAGAGCAAAAATGAAATTGCATTTACCAAAAACCACCCTCTCTTATAAGAAAAATACAAAGGCAAAATGGCAAGCCATAGTGACCTTGATAACTGCGCTAGGGGATATTGTAAGTCCGGTCCGCCTTACTTGCATCACCCCTTCAGAGGCAAAATGATGTGTCGCTCTCATTCTATCCATGCGATACCCCCTCTCATACTTAGTTACATCATCATATTAACTACATCAACCTCACTCTTTCCCTTCAATGTGTTTCTCTTTTTTTGCGTCGTCTTTTCAACTTGAGCTACCATAATGATAGAAAAAACGAAGTCAATGCCTTGTTCATCAGACATGATAAATTGAATAACAATGACAAATGATAAAATATGACAAAGTAAATACAATAGAGGTAACAAAAATGAAATTTCATTTACCAAAAATCAACCCCTCTTATAAGAAAACTACAAAGGCGAAACGGCAAGCTATGATGACCTTGATAACCGTGTTAGGGACATTGTAAGTTCGGTTGACCATAGTTGCATCACTCCTTTCAGAAGCAACACAACAGGTCGCCCTCATATATATATATTATATATATATTATATATATTAGATATATCTATATATATATATATATATATAATTATTATATATATATATAAACTTAACAAAAAAATATTAAAAGTCTAACTAATTAAAAAATACAAAATTTCAAAATTTGGTCATTTTGATTTGCAATTTTTTTTTTATCTAGTCCAACGATTTCTAAATTGCACCCCCCCCCTAGGTTTAACACTTGTTAAAAAGGTATGTTAACCTTCTCATGTGGCCTTTACGTGAGGGCATTTCTATCATTTCACAATACCTTGTAACATGTTATTAGTTTGTTTCCCTTTTATATTTGAAACCCAAGCATCAACTTCCTCCCCAACGTTTATTTTCTTTTTCATCATTCATCATTCACCATGGTTATGTGTTTCTATGTTAGTATCATAGTAATGATTACATCCTGGGCATCCATCAACCCTAGTTGTCGATTTTATTCGTGCCCTAAACATGTTAGTATACTTCGTTTCTCCGAAAGCTTTCATTACAATCAAGGTTGTAAAAATGGTTCGACGGTCGACTAGTGTTAAAGGATTAATTGGTATGGCGAGGATTAATTGTAGATTAATCGGGGACCATAGATTATTAATAAAATATTAAAATTAATCAAATATTTATATATCTTAAGAAAAACAAGTACTTCAAAATTAAAAAATAAGAAATTTTGTAACTAGAAATTTTAAAAGTACGAAAATATGAACATTTTGGTATAATATTTGAAATTTGGAAAAAATTTGAGTAAAAAAAAGGTTGATTTTTTGAATTTTTTTATAAATTTTTAAATTTTTTTGACTTTTTTGACTTTTGTTGATTTTTTTTGACCGATTAATCCCGCCAACCCGATTAATCCTAAATTTACGATTAATACCCTTATCCTCGACGGTTGGAGAACGTCAAGCGATTAATCCACGATTAATCGCCGATTAATCCCGATTTCTGCAACCATGATTACAATACATATCTTTGATTCGTATCACTTTATATTTTAAATTGAAGGAATCAAAGTGTGATTTTATTAGTTGGTTTGATTTACCTGTATGTGAAAGGTCAATGACAATAGTTTATGGGTTGCTTAGAACACAAATAAATTATGTGTTTTAAACAACATTCTTATGGGTGAAACTACAAAGTTGAAGACGTACCTTATTTCTAGTTGTTTTTTTCTTGGTGGCTATTTTATCGTATATTTAATTGGCAAGTGTTAGGTTATGGGGTTTTTGGATTATGATGGTATGTTAAGTAGTCATTATTTTTGCAAATTCACCTTATGTTCGTATGTATAGGTAAATTGTGGTTATATTGCTTAGAAATTTAGTATTAAGGGAAACATTTATAATGATCAAGGTTTTGAATTATGTTTGTGGTGGATGCATTGGTGTTTGGGATTAGAAAACAATAATTATAGGAAAATATCATAACTTAAATGAGAAATTTATAGGTTCACAAAACTATACCTAAAGTGATCATTTCCATATTCAAAGTAAAATACACAAATTAAAGCATACTAACATCCACCGATAAGCAAACTAAAATACCTAAATTAACCATTTCAATAATAATCTAAAATGACATTTTTTAAAATCAAATCAATACCCAAAATTTTCATTTGTATATTTAAACTTGACTTAAAATTCAACAACCTACATTTACAAACATAAACTAAATTGATCATATGGTTGTGTATCAAAAGAGTGTCATATTCAACACACAAAATATACATAACCAATTCGAAACACAAAACGTATATTTTCCATAGTAGCCTATGATTTCATACCAAACGCATAGTCATTAAATTACATAAGCACGTTACTTCAGAAGTTGCAACCAAAAGAGTAACATTGTGTTTATCCATATCTTAACTATTACTGTTGAAAAAACAAAACTACCATAACCACTAACTATATATATATATATAGATATATATATATATATATATATATATATATATATATATATATATATATATATATATATATATAATCTATCTAACTACTTTATAATATATACATAATGGTGGGACCCATTAATTTTAAGACAATGTCTTAAAAACAAGAAGAAGAAATTTAAGCCATTGGATTTTATTTGAATTTTTATTTGAATGATCAAGATCGTTTATAGTCAATCCATGTGAATTAAATTAGACTAATCAAAACAAATTTTAAAATATGTACAAATTTTAAAAGAGAATTTACAATCAGTTATGCATTAAGAAACACAAATGACTTTAAAAAAACGGAACCACTTATCAACTTTGTTTATTATAAATGGCACTATAATGTTTGTTTTTTATCTCCAGAAAATACCCTCTTAACCTCTCTCAAAATGTGAAAAACCCTAATTTTTTAGCAGCCTCCATCGTTCCTTCATAGACCACATCTCCACCGCCAGCTACAACTATCATTTACACTCTCATCGCACCACCTTCCACCATCCCTTTCCTCACCGTCCATCTCTCCCTTTATTCACTGCTTTAACCACAAACATCCACCATCTCTCACCATTAAAACCTTTGATCTAAACCCTGGATCTAAAATGCACCTCCACCGACACCACAAGTGTCTACTGTAGTTTCCTCTTATTATCAAAACCCTAGATCTAAAATGCACCTCCGCCGACACCACCACCACCGTTCACAAATGCCTTCTCTCCTCATTTAAACTCTAGATTTTAAAAACACCGCCGCCACAACTGTTTCCTGTTTACTGCAGGCTTGAATATGCGATATCATAGCCCACCATTGTAGTTGCTCGCTCTCTATTTCTTTGTCCCACTCACCCTAACCATATTTGTTATATGCACTATCAGTAAACATCTTCCGATATGCTTACCCACTGTGCCTCTTCCACCACCAACGAAACCACTGCACATATCTTCTGATCTAATTGTGAATATAAATGTTAGTTTGTGATTTTTGTTGTTTCTTTTTCTTCGATTCATCCTAGAAATCACACGTAAGTTGTTGCTTTTTTGTAATTTTGTTTGTAAAATGAATGAATATGGAAGAGCGGTGTTAAACATGTTGGTGTTGCAAAGTGATTTGGTTTGGTTTTCTTTGATATTCTTATCTCTGTAGACAAATTATTTGTTATGTATAAAACCTCATGTCATTATGATTGTCGGTTTTTTGATTAAAAAGCATATGAAAAGCTTTAACTTTTTTTTCTTATATAATTTTTTAAAAATAAACGTATATATTAAATGACTAAATATACTTCAAATTCATATAAACATTGTCCAAAGTTGAAAAAAGTTGATTTCTTGAGAAGCACAAACCACTCTACACAAGAACCAACAGCTGCACCATAAAGTACATATTAGAAATGAAACAATCCGGCCAAACCCATAAGAATGCAACAAAGTGTAGAATTATCATGTAGCTACTTATGTTGTATAAGTTCAACACTATCGATATCTTGATGTTAGGTGACCAAGGTTGTGTTTGGCGCGCCACAGCTAGCTGATTTTTCGAGCTTTTTTATGTTGTCGTGTTTGGTAAGCCAAAAAGTAGCTTATAAGCTAGCTTTTTG